TTTTTTTAAATAAGTCTGCTTTCTTTATTTGGACCTTGGCATTGTTGTAGCACTTAACATTTATACAGAACGCTATTACTTTTAACTTCTAAAAATTTTATTGATTGTACTTATTCCTGATCAAATTAATGAAGATTATTAACTGAACATCACTCATTAATTGAAGACATTGGCCACTAGAATATAAGAGAGTTAAGCTCTATATCTTAAATCGGGTGGGTTTTTTGTTTTTTACTCTTATGTATTAGGAACATCACAAAAGATCAATTCCAAGGGACACCTGGAATCTCCTGCTGGACTTTGGAAACATGATTGCAGATGATATGTCTAACTACGATGAAGAAGGTACTGGAAATTGTGCTTCAGATGATTCACCAAAATGCTTACACCTGAGAACGTTAACTTTTCCTGCCTCTAGAGTGGTGACCCCATCACTGAGATGGGGGTGGTAATAATACTATCCCCTTCGTTATTATTTTCTGTAAATCATACAAAAGAAGAACAGGGCTTTATATTTAGTTTAAATCAAGAAGTCCTCTAAGCCAAAGCATTTCAAAATTGAATGTGACCCCCACGGCAGAGCCATGGAGTTAGGTATTTGGAAACCACCACTCCCAAATTCTCAGTCCCACACGATGCCTTAGGTCAGCTCTGCACTGCGCTACGTAGGTTTACTTGGAGATTCCAACTCCCGTCCACTTACATAAATATATCTACCTACTCGTCTTCCTCTGTGTTTAGGACGCTGCATCAGAGGGCCTTTGGAGCCTGCTGTGTGCTGGGCACACTGCCATGTTGGGGAAGGGATGGTCTCTGAGTGGAAGGCCTCCCGTCTAGGCGCCACCCACTTGCCTCCTCACTGCCCCCTTGGCAGGCAGTGATCTGTTTTCAGTACTGGCACGGTGCCTTGTGACAGGTGGTTTACGTGTCTGTCTGCCTGTTTTAGCTTATATTTCTCTTTGTGTCCTCTACAATTAGCACCATCCCTAGATCAGAGGCACCCAGTAAATGCTTGTCAAATGAAAGAAGGGATCGTTGAATATCGACAGAAGCGCAGCTTCCAAGAGCCTTCCAGGCCTCAGTGCAGGAGCTCACAGGGCACTCGGCTGCCGGTGGGGAGAGGCAGGGAGGGTCCTACTTGGGAAGATGGGCAGGAGGCAGCAACCCCCTGCTGCCAAGAATGCCGATGACTGGAGGAACGTGCCTCCTGCTCTTCTGCTCCATGTGGGTCCATTTAGCTCCCTTCCTGAGTCACCGATGTGACTTCGCAGAGCACTCACCGAGGACGTGGGGCCACTGTGAGCCCACGGGCCCCTGGACATAGCACGCACACGCCAGGGCTGCTGACCTGGCCTTGCTAGGGTGAAAGAACTGGGTAACTTGGGCTGGTTCATTGTGAAACATGAACGGTATGGGTCTCAAATCATTTGCGTTCTTTAAATGTAAATGTTGGATTGATATGTGGCACAATGCTTTGAAGACAAAAGCTGTGCTCTAACGGGTTTTCTGTTTGTTTGCTTTCCTTTAGGAGCTTGGCCCGTTCTTATAGATGATTTTGTAGAATATGCACGGCCAGTAGTCACAGGTGGAAAGCGCAGCCCTTTCTAGGCAGCAAGTTAAGCTGGAGTAAGATTATGAAATGATTTGCATCCTGCCAGGAGATTTTGGTCAGTTCCTAGGTGCATTGTTACTGATTCCAGAAGTCATTCTTGACCAGCCATGAAACCAGAGGAGTCACCGCATTCTGCCGGAGGACAGCAGCGGCTGCCTTGTGGACATCGCAGGAAGTTCCTCAGGACACAGCTACTTTGGATGTTTAGATTTGTCATCATAGCTGTTGCGTTAGGAGATTTCTGCATGATTTTTTAATATTCACAAAACAGTAAGGTAGAGCCGTAGTGCCACCTGTGGGAGCGCAGAGCATGCTGCAGCGCGCATCCACTGAGTGACGCTGCCGCCACACTGGAGACACGGCGTGTGTCCTGTGGGAGCGCAGAGCATGCTGCAGCGCTCAGCCACTGAGTGACGTGGCCACCACACTGGAGACACGGCGTGTGTCCTGTGGGAGCAGCAGAGTATGCTGTAGCGCTCAGCCCCTGAGTGACGCGGCCACCACACTGGGGACGTGGCGTGTGTCCTGTGCAGGATGCTGTGTTTTACACACATCAAAGCTGTTGAGAATGTGTCCTAAAGAAGATGATCTTGTCATAGAGTCTAATGGTTTTTAAAATTGGTGCCAGGAATTCAAGATTTATATTTTTTGAATTATCGAATGACTAGATTTATCGGCTCTATTTTTGTTTTCATTTTCTCTAGACATTCATCTGAAAATCATTTCATGGTTCTCAGTCCCCATGTAGCTTTGCACAGCAACAGCACACGTGGCACGATTCCAGCAGAGTTTGTTTCACAGTTTATATGTCAGTGGGCCTCTTTTACTTCATTCAATAATGTTACTTGAACTGCCTGAGAAGTTTCATAAAGTACGTTTTAAAAAATATTCTTTTAATTACATTTAAAAAGACATTTTTCCATGAAAAATATGTATGAGTGATTAATGATAAAGTTTCAAATCGAATGAGTTGGTTCTTTCCACCCTCCTGTGGTGCCCATAGCACCCAGCATCCAGACCTTTGTGTAGCCGTGCACATTTGGAAGCTAAAATCTACATCATTGTCCGAAAAAACCCAGTCCCAAAACCTTCAGCTGATTGGTGAGCTAAAGCCTGTCTTTGAGCCATGTTATCATCTGCTTTTCGTGTCTGCCTGGTGAAGGAGGACCCGTGAGTGCCGCCGTGGCATGGAGGGCTGGTGTTGAGTTGTGAACATCACCGTTTTGACCCTACCTCACATGTGCCGAGACCCTAGTGCCTTGCTGTCCCCCTGCAGCACCGTGCAGGATGCAGACCAGCTGGAGCTGCTCCCCAGGAGAGAGAAGAGTCACCTGCCGCAGACGACCTAGCTGCAGTGACAGAGCATGGCCCAGACGTGCAGCTGGGTTGGCTTCAAGAACATCTGGTGGCTGAGGTTCGTGTGCCTAGCAGCTGCAGGACAAACTATCAACACTTCTCAGCAGAGATCATCACAGAGGGCAGCAGGGACAGGACTGGAAGGGACCTGCAGCCTGGAGATCTGCCTGGCCCCAGCTGGCCCCTGGCTGGTCAAGTGATGGACAAGTCACAGGCCTTCCTGACGCTCTGCTTCCAAATCTCTAACAGGAAACTGGGCCATGTCTGCCTTTAGAAGGCTTCAATTCTCAGAGAGCATTTGTTTAATACAAAACACTGGCTTTTATAAAAACCTCAAAAATATTAAAAGCACCTTCTAGGCGTCCTGGATTCTTGACATGTAATTGTTCTGTTCAGAAGAGTTTATATAATTCAGATAATTCTGTATAAATAATGGAGATCTGCAGTGCTTTTTTGTTTTTGAGATTTAAAGTTCTAAGGGATTGTCAATAGATACCAAAATATTAATCACTGGACAAAAGCTTTTCAAACAGTTATGGGTTTTTTTCTTCTGTTGTATACATTTGAGTCCTGCATGTTGTGAAATGCTGAGAACAGAAGCATTAAATTGGTTTCTCTTGGGTGTGGTGTCCTTTCAGTTCTCCTTGGCTGCAGGGATGCCTGCCTACAGGTGTCAGCATCTGGGTCCTTGTCCAGGGATGACTGGACAGCCCGGCCTAGCAACCAACAGGCAGGAACAGCCCCGGCTAGCAACCAGCAGGCACAGGACAGCCCCGGCTAGCATCCAGCAGGCAGGAACAGCCCAGCCTGGCAACCAGCAGGCACAGGACAGCCCCGGCTAGCATCCAGCAGGCAAGAACAGCCCCGGCTAGCATCCAGCAGGCACAGAACAGCCCCGGCTAGCAACCAGCAGGCAAGAACAGCCCTGGCTAGCAACCAGCAGGCAAGAACAGCCCGGCTAGCAACCAGCAGGCACAGAACAGCCCCGGCTAGCATCCAGCAGGCAAGAACAGCCCCGGCTAGCAACCAGCAGGCACAGA